TGCATACTGCTGTAGTCTATCACTATATGTTTCACGATTCCAAGGAACAGCGAATAAACTGCTTAATTCCCATCCTAATTTCTTACCCATCAGTTCCATGATTTGGAAAAGTCTATCCCATGGATTTTGAATTTGCGTGTCTTGTGGCTGCTGTATGTATGCCAAGTAAAATTCTACAGCCTTGCATAACAGTCGTAAGCTAAGACGAGGATTCAATTCTACTACAGCATCACCAAGTAGTGGTAATGTTTCGCATGCTAATAATCTTTTGAAACCATTCACAGTTCTACCTGGATGACTGTGTTTCTCTGCAGTTAACAAAGTTTCCACTAAACTTGTGGCTAAAACAATAATACAAATAAACATCTTGTAAAAATTAAGCATGTTTGTTCACATTTTGAGATACATACTCCATGAGTTGCTATAGTTTGAGGAAACTTGCGTAGTAATAATAGCAATAATTTACAATGTTCCATTGTATCTTCGCTATGATCTGCTGTCATTATGAGCAACCTATGTTGTAAATCCTGTGGGATGTGTTGGAACATTTGACATAAAAATTCAGCTTCGCTATCACATTGTTCTAAGCGAAGACACATTGTCACCGTTTCTATCTCTTTCCATATATCACGATCATCCGGAAAATTTTGAAACCTATATTTAAGAAAGTACAAATGTAAAGTACTTAAACGAGTAATATATAAATTATTGTATTAAATATAAATTTATACAAAAAGTACACATATATTTCAATAATAATTGATACTCACATCTCGCTAAAACATTTTGCTGCCTCTTTTACATTCTTTGACAGTTTCTCGATACGATATGCCTCAAACTGAAAGTAGAAAAGATTGAACATCATTGTATAATTTTACAAATTTTAATTCAAAATTAATAACTGTAAATTATAGACGATATTTTTCAAAATAAATTGTTTCATCTGTATAAAATCAAAGAAGAAACATATAAAGTAAAGTAAAAATCAAATGTATGTACATACAATGACGATCCAGAACTAACCTGAACTTTTGCGCTATGTGGAAATAAAGATCTTGCAGTAATCAGCCAGGACTTAGCGGCATAAATATCGCCCGGCAATGCTTTCTTAGCTCTCATTATTAAATAATCTTCTTTGGATAACGGATTATCCATACCGGATGTTTTTTCCAACATAAT